GAATTACAGGGGTCCCAGAAGAAGAGAAAAGGAAAGGGTCTGAGAAAATATCTGAAGAGATTATAGTTGAAAACTTCCCTAACATGGGAAAGGAAATAGCCAATCAAGTCCAGGAAGCGCAGAGAGTCCATACAGGATAAACCCAAAGAGAAACACGCCAAGACACATAGTAATCAAACTATCAACAGTTAAACACAAAGAACAGTTATTAAAAGCAGCAAAGGGAAAAGCAACAAATAACACGCAAGCGAATCTCCATAAGGTTAACAGCTATCTTTCAACAAACTCTGCAAGCCAGAAGGGAGTGGCAGGACATAATTAAAGTGATGAAAGGGAACAACCTACAACCAAGATTACTCTACCCAGCAAGGATGCCATTCAGATTTGCAGGAGAAACTAAAACCTTTACAGACAAGGAAAAGTTAAGAGACTTCAGCACCACCAAACCAGCTTTACAACAAATGCTAAAGGAACTTCTCTACACAGGAAACAAAAAAGAAGTAAAAGACCTACAAAAACAAAACCAAAACAATTAAGAAAATGGGAATAGGAACATACATATCAATAATTACCTTTAATGTAAATGGATTAAATGCTCCAACCAAAAGACACAGACTGGCTAAATGGATACAAAAATAAGACCCCTATATATGCTGTTTACAAGAGACCCACTTCAGACCTAGGGACAGACCTAGGGACACATACAGATGGAAGTGAGGGGATGGAAAATGATATTCCATGCAAATGGAAATCAAAAGAAAGCTGGAGTAACAATACTCATATCAGACAAAACAGGCTTTAAAATAAAGACTATTACAAGAGACAAAGAAGGACACTACATAATGATCAAGGGATCAATCCAAGAAGGTATAACAATTGTAAATATTTATGCACCCAACACAGGAGCACCTCAATACATAAGGCAAATGTTAACAGCCATAAAAGGGGAAATCAACACTAACACAATCATAGTAGGGGACTTTAACGCCCCACTTTCACCAATGGAGAGATCATCCAAATAGAAAATAAATAAGGAAAAACAGGCTTCAATTAATTGATATTTATAGGACATTCCATCCAAAAACAACAGAATACACTTTCTTCTCAAGTGCTCATGAAACATTCCCCAGGACAAACCATATCTTGGGTCACAAATCAAGCCTTGGTAAATTTAAGAAAACTGAAATCGTATCAAGTATCTTTTCTGACCACAATGCTATGAGACTAGATATCTATTACAGGAAAAAGTACTGTAAACAATACAAACACATGGAGGTTAAACATTATGCTACTAAATAACCAAGCAATCACTGAGGAGGAAATCAAAAAAATACCTAGAGACAAATGACAATGAAAACATGATGATGCAAAACCTATGGGATGCAGCAAAAGCAGTTCTAAGAGGGAAGTTTATAGCAAACAATCCTACCGCAAGAAATAAGAAAAATAAACCACCTAACCTTACACCTAAAGCAATTAAGAGAAAGAAAAACAAAAAAAACCCAAAAAAATTAGCAGAAGGAAAGAAATCATAAAGATCAGATCAGAAATAAATGAAAAAGAAATGAGGGAAACAATAGCAAAGATCAATAAAAACTAAAAGCTGGTTCTCTGAGAAGATAAACAAAATTGATAAACCATTAGCCAGACTCATCAAGAAAAAAAGGGAGAAGACTCAAATCAATAGAATTAGGAATGAAAAAGGAGAAGTAACAACCAACACTGCAGAAATACAAAGGATCATGAGAGATTACTACAAGCAACTATATGCCAATAAAATGGACAACCTGGAAGAAATGGACAAATTCTTAGAAAAGCACAACCTCCTGAGACAGAACCAGGAAGAAATACAAAATATAAACAGACCAATCACAGCACTGAAACAGAAACTGTGATTAAAAATCTGCCAACAAACAAAAGTCCAGGACCAGATGGCTTCACAGGCAAATTCTATCAAACATTTAGAGAAGAGCTAACGCCTATCCTTCTCAAACTCTTCCAAAATATAGCAGAGGGAGGAACACTTCCAAACTCATTCTACGAGGCCACCATCACCCTGATACCAAAACCAGACAAAGATGTCAGAAAGAAAACTACAGGCCAATATCACTGATGAACATAGATGCAAAAATCCTCAACAAAACACTAGCAAACAGAATCTAACAGCACATTAAAAGGATCATACACCATGATCAAGTGGGGTTTATCCCAGGAATGCAAGGATTCTTTAATATACGCAAATCAATGTGTTACACCATATTAACAAATTGAAGGATAAAAACCATATGATCATCTCAACAGATGCAGAAAAAGCTTAACAAAATTCAACACTCATTTATGATAAAAACTCTCCAGAAAGTGGGCATAGAGGGAACTTACCTCAACATAATAAAGGCCATATATGACAAACCCACAGCCAACATCATCCTCAATGGTGAAAAACAAACCATTTCCTCTAAGATCAGGAACAATGCCAGGCTGTCCACTCTCACCACTCTTAATCAACATAGTTTTGGAAGTTTTAGCCATAGCAATCAGAGAAGAAAAGGAAATAAAAGGAATACAAATCGGAAAAGTAAAACTGTCACTGTTTGCAGATGACATCATACTATACACAGAGAATCCTAAAGATGCTACCAGAAAAGTACTAGAGCTAATCAATGAATTTGGTAAAGTAGCAGGAAACAAAATTAATGCACAGAAATCTCTTGCATTCCTATACACTAATGATGAAAAATCTGAAAGAGAAATGAAGGAAACACTCTCATTTACCACTGCAACAAAAAGAATAAAATATCTAGGAATAAACCTATCTAAGGAGAAAAAAGATCTGTATGCAGAAAACTATAAGACGCTGATGAAAGAAATGAAAGATGATACAAACAGATAGAGAGATATACCATGTTCTTGGATTGGAAGAACCAACTGTGAAAATGACTCTACTACCCAAAGCAGTCTACAGATTCAATGCAATCCCTATCAAACTACCACTGGCATTTTTCACAGAACTAGAACAAAAAATTTCACAATTTGTATGGAAACACAAAAGACCCCGAAGAGCCAAAGCAATCCTGAGAAAGAAAAATGGAGCTGGAGGAATCAGGCTCCCAGAATTCAGACTATACTACAAAGCTACAGTAATCAAGACAGTATGGTACTGGCACAGAAACAGAAATACAGATCAGTGGAACAGGACAGAAAGGCCAGAGATAAACTCATGCACATATGGTCACCTTATCTTTGATAAAGGAGGCAAGAGTATATAACGGAGAAAAGACAGCCACTTCAACAAATGGTGCTGGGAAAACTGGACAGCTACATGCAAAAGAATGAAATTAGAACACTTCCTAACACCATACACAAAAATAAACTCAAAATGGATTAGAGACCTAAATGTAAGGCCAGACACTATAAAACTCTTAAGAGGAAAACATAGGCAGAACACTCTATGACATAAATAACAGCAAGATCTTTTTTGATCCACCTCCTAGAGTAATGTAAATAAAAACAACAATAAATAAATGGGACCTAATGAAACTTAAAAGCTTTTGCACAGGGGCTTCCCTGATGGCGCAGTGATTGAGAGTCCACCTGCCGATGCAGGGGACATGGGTTCGTGCCCCGGTCCGGGAAGATCCCACATGCTGCGGAGCGGCTAGGCCCGTGAGCCATGGCTGCTGAGCCTGCGTGTCCGGAGCCTGTGCTCTGCAACGGGAGAGGCCACGACAGTGAGAGGCCCGTGTACTGCAAAAAACAAAAACAAAAACAAAAAACAACCCAATCCAAAAATGGGCAGAAGACCTAAATAGACATTTCTCCAAAGAAGATATACAGATTGCCAACAAACACATGAAAGGATGCCCAACATCACTAATCATTAGAGAAATGCAAATCAAAACTACAGTGAGTTATCACCTCACACCTGTCAGAATGGCCATCAACAAAAAATCTACAAATAATAAATGCGGGAGAGAGTGTGGAAAAAAGGGAACCCTCCTGCACTGTTGATGAGAATGTAAATTGATACAGCCACTATAGAGAACAGTATGGAGGTTCCTTAGAAAACTAAAAATAGAACTACCATGTGACCCAGCAATCCCACTACTGGGCACATACCCTGAGAAAACCATCCAGGAGTCACATACCACAATGTTCACTGCAGCACTATTTACAATAGCCAAGACATGCAAGCAACCTAACTGTCCATCAACAGATGAATGGATAAAGAAGATGTGGCACATATATACAATGGAATATTATTCAGCCATAAAAAGAAACGAAATTGAGTTATTTGTAGTGAGGTGGATGGACCTAGAGTCTGTCATACAGAGTGAAGTAAGTCAGAAAGAGAAAAGCAAATACCATACACTAACACATATATATGGAATCTAAAAAATAAAAATGGTTCTGATGAACCTAGGGGCAGGACAGGAATAAAGGACAGAGGCAAGGGGAAGGGTAAGCTGGGACGAAGTGAGAGAGTGGCATGGACATATATATACTACCAAATGTGAAATAGATAGCTAGTGGGAAGCAGCCGCATAGCACAGGGAGGTCAGCTCAGTGCTTTGCGACCACCTAGAAGGGTGGGATAGGGAGGGTGGCAGGGAGACGCAAGAGGGAGGAGATATGGGGATATGCGTATGCATGTAGCTAATTCACTGTTATACAGCAAAAACACAACATTGTAAAGTAATTATACTCCAATACAGATGTTAAAAAAAAATCATTTAAATAATTTTTTTTTCCTGGAGAGAGCCCATAGCTTTCATCAGAAATACTTTTTAATGAGCAAAGGAAAAAAAGATTTAAAAACACTGCATCCGAATTTTAGAGTAAAAATTGACGTTCTCGTGGAAAAGTCCCTGTCTTGAAAGTGCCTTGTATCTTTGAAATTACAGAGTTAATTACTCAGCTGAGATGAACTGACATTAGATATTGACCTTCTAAGGTCAGTAAGATATAAGTATTTTCTTAGACAAAAGAAAAAGTACACATACCTTTTTTCCAAATCTCTGATTTTCTCTCTTAGTGGTTCAAGAATCTAAAACGAAAATAGCCAGTATCAGTTTTCAAGCAGAAACCCAGTCCTCTGCCGCTCACCCACTCTGATGTTCCAGAGGGACAGGACGTGGTGTGAAACAGATTTTAATTCCTTCTACGATTCACCTCCAACTTGAGGTTAAGTAAGACCCCGCGACTCACAATCCTAGAATCGAGATACTGAACTGCGTATTGGAATCTCTCGCTCCCGAGATGCCTAAGCCCTCAGGAAATTCACCTTTTTCCTTCCCGACCTCATGGGCAAAGTCAAAGGTGGTTCAGCCTCGTGAAAACAGGTGATCACCACCCCCACTTCTCTTCAGGTGAGAGAGAGGACCCCCGGGGGCTGCCCCCGGTGTGTCGCCTGCCATCAGCACAGCGCCTGCGTCGCAGGCCGTGTGTCCACTGCATTCGCGGGCCAGGGCCGGGGCTGCACAGCACGACCGGTATGTGCCTCCAAATCACAGTGAGCAGCTCCCAGCGCTCCCACGGCCCATATTACAACAGTCAGTCTGCACCGACACTGGACTAAAACACGAGCAATTATTTTAACCAGAAGGTGTGAAGTGGGCTAGAGTTGCCGGCTTTCAGTGAGGCAGGCCGCAGCCTCCCCTCCGCTCGTGCGCCCGCCCTGCTCTGTGTGTCCCCGGGTCCTCGCAAACGAGTCGGGCCGTGTTTCCTGTTGGCACCTGCTCAGGTGAGTGGAAGGCGGCCCCTGCCCCCATCCCTGGTGAAGGTCCTCACTGCCGTTCCTCTAAGGAAGCCTGGTAAGGCTCCCCTGAAAAGTCACATAAGAGCTTAAATCCTTCTTGCCTGGAGGGCAGAATTTAACACACTGCACCTTTACAAATGGACAAATGCTGACACAGAGGTGCGGCCACAGCCTAACAAAGTCCTTCTTAAATGAGGGAATGATTTCCTGCGAGATGGTTTCAGAATCACAGGTCGGCATCAAGCGGCCACGATAAAGATACCAGCGCAAGCAAAGGGACTGAAGTGGACAAATTAGCAGGAAAAGGAGGGGCAAAGTTTGGAAAAGAGACTAACCTCTTCAATCCTGCTTTCAATCTTGAGTTCACCATTTTCCTGGATGGACCTGTTGAGTAGAAAACTACAAAACTGAGACCAACGGAAAGACTTTGTGACTCCCAGGTGTATTTCTGAACAAATCACTGCAACACAGGCCAAAGGGTGCACGTCGCCCCCTCCTCCCCAAGAACCCGTCCCGGGCACCAACCCCCCAGGATGGCGGGGGAGGAGGGGGCTGGGGGTAGCCCCTCAGCGCCGTACCCCAGGCTCACCACCACCTTACGGGGCGCTTCTGTTAAACTAAGACCATCTCACTTTCACATTCCACCCAACACGGGATTGTAAATTAGAGGCAGGAAGCGTGTCTATAGGGAGTACAAGTTTCTCTGCTGGGCTTTCCTGGGATTTAATGCAAAATGGAGTTTTTCCAAGTGCAAAGACAGAGCTCCTTTAATGGGGCCTGAGCAGCCCTCCAGCCACACACAGGGGCCTCTGTCAGGAGACACACACCAGCCCCGGCGGGAGGAATTGGGTCAACACGGCCCCAGCCGCCCTGCAAACCCCACTGGACGTGAAGAGCCCGGTGGGGGCAGAGCGACCCTCCCCGGCTGCCCGCAGCTGCGCTGACTTCCCAAACCTGCTGCCACCGCAGTGCGACTGCTGCTCTTTGACGGTCACACCAAGAAATACAAAGTGGAGGGGATTTTTCTTTAAATGTAAAACTGTACTCACGGCACCAAATTTGTTTTTACAATGAATGCTTATGACTTTCGCTGATTTTTTTTTTTTTTTTTTTTTTTTTTTTTTAAGAATACTGACACAAGGATTTGACTTTTACAAGTGTCCCTCATGCTCTGCTGAGCAACACAAATAATGCTCACTCAGCCCAGAAGGTCGCCGGGCCCTCCCTCCCCTGGGACGGACAGTGGGCTCAAGCATCCACTGGTCTGCTCCTGGGGGTGAGGGCAGCCTCGGTTTCCCTAAGAGGCTTTGGAAAGGTGCCCCTGAGTGCTTTGCTCAAGCCGCCCAGAAATGCCATTTACATTTCAGGAGCCTGAAAGCTCAGGTCCACCCTCTTCTGTCTACAAGGCCAGGAAGGCCTGAGGCGGGCACCACCAACGAGCCGCCACGGCTGCCTCGAGATTCACCGCCACATCTGAGCTGGACTTGGGTCAGCGTGATAACCAGCTGCGTCCTCCAGAACAGCCCAGGAGAGAAGACGAGCTGGAAGTGTGAATACCAAGAAGCTCAGTTCTGCTTTCACATCGTCCTCAATCAGCCCATGACGCCATGGTGTATATGGAACAATGAAATGTATCCTTTCAACCCAAACGTAACAGCCGAGTTATTAAAAACAATTACCTCATATTAACCAAGTTGCCCCAAATAGCTGTAAGAGAAAAAGAAAGGAGCAGTCAATATTTAAGTTCACAACATTCAAGGACTCCAACTAATACAATATTAATTTTTAACCAATATCTTAAAGTTGCCTATGAAAACTATAGCTCATGAAGACAATAAAATGCACACTTTCAAAATAATAAGTCCTGGGACTTCCCTGGCGGTCCAGCGGTTAGGACTCCGTGCTTCCACTGCAGGGGGTGCAGGTTCGATCCCTGGTCGGGGCACTAAGACCCTGCATGCTGCACGGTGCGGCCGAGAATACATACATACGTACCTACATAAATAAAAAGTGCGACTAAACATAAGCGAAAAGATGACCCTATATACCCCTGACTCTGGCATAACCTTCTGGGGCCTGGAGTGCCACGGTGCACGTGCTTTGATACGCAGTACGTCCCCAGCCTTTGAGGAAGAGCCGGTCACGGGAATCAAAGACCTGCAAGAATCAAAGAGATCCCAGGGCTCAGTCCAACCCCTCCCCTCCAATGTCGATGAGACCGAGACTCAGAGAAGTAGAGGATGGCCTGACCCTGTGGCCGTCCTCTCTCTCAGCCCTCACCCAGCTCCCCTACATCACAGCCTCGCCTGCTGGGCCACCTCCCTGACGGCAGACAGCTGAGTAACCGCGTCTAAACCAGTCCGGCTGCCGCAGTGGATTTTACCAGGGGTGACTTTACAGACACACTAGACCACGACACGCACTTGAAGTTACTGACCAGAGGGTACCTCACAGAGAGACGCCCACAGAGAACGGTGTCGCTAAGGCTCTGTCCACATGCCGACACGACCCCCACGTGACCACTCCCCCAGTGACCACTCCCCCAGTGACGCGCACCTCCCGAGGCCAGGAGCGCTCAGGTGCTGCCAGATGCTGGGGAAAGCAGGGAGCAAACACACACACACCCTGGAGTCCGGGGCTGGCAATCCTGTGAGCTTGGGAAGGCCCTGAGGTGAGGGGCGACACTAGGCATGTTCTCACTGCATCTGCCGATACCCAGCAGGGGGGCTAATAAACGTTCACTGCAGAGTTCTCAGTGCCCAAAATCACGCTCCTTGCAAGAGATCCCCATTGTGAACAAGGGGCATGATGAAACCATAAAAGCACAGCCCTCTTCGAATACAAGAAGAAACTATGATCGAAAAGATAAGCAATAAATAAGTAGAAAGTGGCAAGTAAGCAAGAAATGGGAGAAATTAAAATGAAGCTGTACTATATGCATTAATCATTATAAAACAAAGAATGTTTACGCCTTTGGACCATGTGATCCTACTTTTGAGGATTATCCTCAGGAAATAAGTATACACACAAAAAAGCGGCCTTCCCAAGTCACAGCCTTATTTATAATTAAGAAAAAGAGTAAACCAAAATACATTACAATTGGGGAACTATTATATAAATTATGATATAGCCATTCACGTGATGAAATCATAAAGTCATTAAATATGACTAACAATTATCAAAAAAGATAAGCGATAACAGGTGTTGGTGAGGGTGCGGAGAAAAGGGAACCCTGGTTCACTCACTGTTGGTGGGAATGTAAACTGGTGTAGCCGCTACGGAAAATGGTGCAGAGGTTCCTCAAAAAATTAAAAACAGAACTACCACCCGATCCAGCAATTCCACTCCAGGCTATTTACCCAAAGGCAATGAGAACACTAATTCCGAAGGATACATGTACCTCTATGTTCACTGCGGCACTATTCACAACAGCCAGGATACACACGTCAGGCGAGTGTCCACTGACGGATGAATGGGTAAAGAAGATATGGTGTATATACACAATGGAATATGATTCAGCCACAAAAAGATGGAGATCCTGCCATGTGCGGCAACATTGCTGGATCCTCAAGGCATTACACCAAGTGAAATGTCAGAGAAAGACAAATACCGTAGGATCTCACTTACATGTAGAATCTAAAAACAAACAACAAAAACCCAAGCTCACAGGTACAGAGAACAGATCAGTGGTTGCCAGACGTGGGAGGTGGGAGGTGAGGGATGGGTGGTGTGAAATGGGGTTAAAATAAGTCCTGGGGATGTCGTGTACAGCATGTGACTTTAGTTAACAACACTGTCCTAAGTATTTGAAGGAAGCTGCTAAGACAGTGAGTCTTCCAGGATCTCATCACACATGCACACAAATCTGTAACTGTGGGGCTTCCCTGGTGGCGCAGTGGTTGAGAGTCCACCTGCCGATGCAGGGGACACGGGTTTGTGCCCCGGTCCGGGAAGATCCCACATGCCGCGGAGCAGCTGCGCCCGTGAGCCATGGCCGCTAAGCCTGCGCGTCCGGAGCCTGTGCTCCGCAACGGGAGGGGCCACAACAGTGAGAGGCCCGCGTACAAAAAAAAAAAAAAAAAAAAATCTGTAACTGTGTGGTGACGGATGTTAAGTAAACTTATGGTGATCATTTCCCAACACACACGCACATTGAATCATCACATGTACACCTGAAACTAATAAAACGTTATATATCAATTACATCTCAATAAAAATATGGCAACGAAACCATGCTGCAACCTGATAATGCAGGTGTGACGGCCCCAGACAAGAAAATATATCTGCTACTAAAAATTACACAGAAAAAAAAAAGACTGTCTGAAGACACCAAAATACTGAGTCCAGGTGGTGACGTGACTATTTTTTCCTTGTATCTATGTGCTTACCTTGCTTTGTAAAAAGGAGGGAAAAGGTTCTTGAGCCCCTGCTAAGCTGCATGCCCCCTGTCCCCGGTCTCTATCTGGGTCACTGCTCACCTGGGATGCCAGGTGCCCGTGAACCAGGAGGTGCAGACCCTGCGACACTTGTCCTCACTGTGGACCTGAAATGAGTACCTTGTCTCATTCTGGCTTTAGGATTAGCTCCTCATCAAAACAGCCCAGAAGCGTCCCCCTCTCTCTGTGCCAGGGAACTAACTGCGCCTGAGATGACCCGGGCCCTAAGGTGCCTTCCGAGTGGTGACAGCCTTTTGACCGTCTTCCCAAATCATCCCGCGGTTATTAGTTTATTCCGTTTTCTCCTTCTCAACCTCTTCCTGAATCTCTTTAAAATGTCTATTTTGGAGACATTTCTCGGTCCTCCTGCGGTCACCTAGACCACCTGAGAGCAGGTAAGGCTGCCCTCCCTCCCTCCCGGGAAGTAGACACACGGTCTCCCGAGTCATCCCCCCGGCCCCAGCAGGGCTCTGCTTCATCGTCTCCCTCGGGAAGCGCGGGCGGCCCGGGATCTGCAGGGGAAGACGCGCACCTCAGGAGCTTCGCTGCCCTTTACAGACGGATAATGCGGACCCTGGGCGGGAAATGCCCCTTCGCGGCACCCGGACACGCGCCCTCCTCCCCAGCTGCTCTTCCCCGCCCACCCCAGGGCTTCGTGACCCACCACCCCACCATCGGACCCCCTTGCAGCCCCTGCTCCCACAGGACTCCGCACCTCCTCACCCCTTCAGCTGCCTTTACAGGGGTCTCCGGGCACCTCGCCGGGGCACTCCATTCTCGGGACAGCGCCCCGCCCCTGCAGGGTATGCTGTGGCCCCCTGTGTGGCCATGGTGACCACGGCACACCTCTTTTTAACTGGCGGCTTAGGGTGGGTCTCCCTGCAAGAGCAGGAGTGTCCTTATTCACACCCAAAACACCAAGCACGGGCAGGCCAGGCACCGAAACCAGCCAAACGGAGGTCAGGGAATGCTCTTCCTTTCTCACAAACATCACTTGCTTAGTCCTTTTTATCTTCAGAAGCAGAGCCACCTTCTGGGCTCAGCAGGAGATGGATGCCCTGGGAGGAGAAGGGCAACAGAGGTCCCTGGGGAGGGAAGACGAGGCTGCAGGTCAGGGTGGGCCTCAGGGGCTGTGTTCCTGACAAGCTCCCCCGAGGATTCTGCCCATGAACTGAATGCGGGCACCACTGCTTCCCCTTAGGTAGCTGGGCCCTGGTTAGCAGGTGAGCAGCACCACTCAGTGTGGTGAAGGCAGCAGGGTTTCAGCACCAGAGGAAGCAGGGGTGTGAGGGGCAGACGGGCAGGGGAGAAGCAAGCTGAAAGCAGAGGACAGGGTGTCAGGATGGGCCGGGAGGTCAGGGCGAGTGTGACACAGGTTTGTCACAGGCTAAGAGCTGCGGGGCGGCTGCGGGAGGGATAACGGCTGGGACAAACGCACTCTCGCCTCCCTCTCCATCCCACAGTGACGGGGAGGGGAGTCTCATGGGGGGCAGGAACAGACCCTGAACAGATCCGGCCTGGGTCTCAGGACAAGGACAAGGTGGCGCAGGGACTTGGTGGCGCTGGAATGACCCCAGGGCCCTTGCAGGGGCCTTCTGGGCTCACCGTTTCCAAGCCCAAGGTCACGCTGTCACTCCCACGTCACAGCTGAAGACCAGAGCCAAGAGGAGCACCTGTGACTTGTCAGGTCACCCCACAGCCGTGTGACAGGGCCATGCGGGGGCCTCCTTCCCAGGCCTGCATAGCCCGTCTAGGGCCCGGGCTCATCCCCACTCCCACGGAGACAGGTGCCTTGTTTTCCCCAAACTGGCTGCTAAGCTCATTCTCCCCAGACACCCGTGGGACACATGATCAAACCCAAACTGAGCACGGAGACCTCGTGAAATCCTCAAGGCCACGCAGCCCACTGACCGAGAAAGATGCTCCACCTGCGCAGGTAAGAAACGCTTCATCCAGAGGCGGATTCACAATGGAAACCCGTACCGCCCAGGCTCCTGGGCTCATCCGAACCACGCACCGTCTGTGGAGAAAGTTCCAGGACGCTGCAGTGCGGGCGCCTTTCCCCGGCCGCCCCTGCTCCTCTCGGGTCCCGAGACAGGGCTCAGCAGAGGCCAGGCCCAGCCCGTCTGCTGCGCTCCGCAGCGTCAGCGAGATGTTCAGAGAGCGAGACCCTCCCTCGTGCCACAGGTGACACATCCCATCAGAGGAGGGGTCCTGGCCCTCCCCGCAGTCTGGGCAGCCGGTCAGAACCAGCGTGCACGTGGGCCTCAGTTGCTGAAACACCGGATCCTGCAGCCCAGGGCCAGCCGGCAGGACCGCGACCACCTGAGGGCAGACAGGTCACCCACGGGGGCTCCAACAACCACGCCGGCCAAGCTGTCCTCACGGGCAGAATTGCCAGCCGAGTCTCCGGGAAGGGGACCCTCCAGCCCCGCTGTGAGTCCCAACCGTCAGGCTAGATGCCACCAGAGAACAGACTCTGCTTTTCAAATTCCCACCCCACAGACCCATGAGGGTGGTGAAACAGCCGCTGCTCTGTGCCAGCAAGTCCTGAAGGGGTCGGTCACGCAGCAAAACAACCAGAACCAGAGCACAGGCAGGTGCTTTAATCTCCCATCGACCCAGGATCCGGGCAAAGTTCCTCCCGCCTGGGCAGAAAGGGTGGCTGAGGCCCCAGGGGCCCCCATCCCTACCACGCAGGCTGCCTGCCTTGTGTGATCACGGCAGCAAACGCGCCCAGGAAAGAGGAGCCCTGCTCACCTCCCACGAACCCTCACAACTCCGGCCCCCAAGGAACAGATATAGACCCTGCGGTGGCTCAACCGAAGGCCTTCAAAGCAGACATCCTAAACCGATCAGAGGGTTCAAATCACAAGATACTATTCTGTTTAAAGTTCTCCAGATAAGGCAGGGGGCTGTCAGAGGAGGGAGCTTCCCCGCCTCCAGGTCTCCCTAAAACCATCAGGTGGCTAAGGGTCAGGCAGCATCACACACGAAGGGCAGCAGCCACAGAATGGGGAGCCCTCCTGCCCCCCGACCCGAGGGGAGCTGGCCTGTAACCCTGCCCCACGGCCCCCCGACCCGAGGAGAGCTGGCCCGGAACCCTGCCCCACCGGCCGGACCTGCGTTCATGCCAGCGTTACACAGAATGGAAGCTGCTCACATGAGGCAGCCTGGGGAGCCCCGGCAGGCTGGCGACTGGCGTCCTTCCCAGGCCACGCGCAGAGGCCCTGCGCCAGCCCTGCTTCCCTCCCGAGACACCTCCTCCAGGACGGCCTCCAGGACGAGCCCCAGCACAAGCCCTCCAGCTCCCCACCCCGCAGCCTCCAGAGTCCCAGGTGGCGGGTCCCAAAATTCGGCACAGAACCCCTTTAAGTGACTCACACCTCCCCAGAGACTTTCCTAAGAAAGCTGCCCCAACATTTCCATGGGAAAAATTTTTGCCCCAAAGTGGTTAAAAACGCAAGAAACTGTGGGCATTGTAGATAACATCGGTCCCTTTAGAAAGTCTTTACATGTAAAAATGTCACTTATTAACTGAGAAGAGAGACTTAGTAGAATCCATTTCTGCTTGTTCACACTAGACACACGTTTAAAACTTCATGCAGGTGTATTTACGCATAAGACAGTCTGAGAAACACGAGGAAGGCCTTTCTAGGCTCTGGTATCACTGCAATTTCCACAGCCCGCAGGGAGAAAGTCTGAAATAAGTCCCCTAAGGTCTGCAGGGGAGCCGAAGTGTTAGGTCCGTCCAGGTAGGGCAGCACCACACTTGCAAAGTGCAGGATGATCCATGAGATCCCCAAGCCAGTCAGGCAGTAGAGACCCCAAACTCAACTGTCATCTCGAGGACTCCCGCTGTTGGAGGAGCCTGGAGAGGGGACAGCCCCCGGCCCCCTCGACGTAGACAGGGCAGAGGCTCATTCGGGCCAGAGCTACACAGCGTTTCCCCGGAAGCCCGTCGGAAATGCAGATTCTCAGGCCCCGGCAGGGCTCCCCAATCAGAAACTCAGGGGGTGGGGAGCCACCGGGGTTTAACAAGTGCTCCAGCCGATCTCCCCGCAAGCTGAGAGCCCACCTCTGTTCCCCTCCCTGCTCAAGGCCTCCGAAGGCTCCGTGTTCTAAGACAACCGTTAAACAACTTCTTTACAAAACAGCAACAGACTCTCAGACATACAAAATAAACTTAGTTACCAAAGGGGGAAGGGGGGGAGGGATAAATTAGGAGTTTGGGATGAACATATACACACTACTGCATACAAAATCGGTAACCAACAAGGACCTACCACATAGCACAGGGGACTATATTCGATACCTTGTAATAACCTACAATGGAAAAGAATCTTTAAAGGATATATGTATACGTATAACTGAATCACTTTGCTGTACACCTGAAACTAACACAATACTGTAAATCAACTGTACACCAATATAAAATAAAAATTAAACTAAACTAAAAACCAAACCGATGTCACAAGAGCCCGGCCACCTCTCCCTCTGTGATGGGCACAGGTCTGGGCGCCCCTCCCCGCAGGTGGCCGGCAGACCCTCGCGCTCCTGCCCCAGCGAGTCCCTCGAGCCCACGGCCCCGGTCCGGCCCCCTCGTCAGGCTCCGGCCAGTGCAGGACCCGCGCAGCTGCGCTTCCGTGTCCGCCCTCCCACGTGGCACTCCCGCCTTCTCTCCAGGTGACTCGTCCCCGTCCTGCCCCTGCTCCGGATTCCAAGTCTCCACATCACTCCCATCGCCCACTCCGGTGATCGCGCCCTACGCGTATTACACGTACTGTATTATGTTCATTCCACATGGACAAAGGCAGGAAACGGAAGACGATGAAGGGAGACGTGTATGCACACAGGGAAGTTCCAGCGTGCGGGGTTCTGCGGGGTGCCCCCCTCAAAGCCAGCCCCACGGGACACCCCGCCCGCCCCCCGCCCCCCAGGGCTCCGTCTCCGCAGCAGGGCTCCCCCCGCCCCACCAGGCTCACACCTGCCAGCCCACGCCCGGCAGGCAGGAGCCCAGGGAGGGTGCAGAGCTGCGAGCGACACCCGCCACAGGCCCGGGGGTCAACACAGGCGGCGCTTGGCCCCGAGTCTGAACATCTGGGGCAGGTGGATCACATCCTGGCTCCTCAACTGCACGGCTCTCCTCCAACAGCAGCTCCTCTCGCTGAAGGGTTCCCACCCGGGCAGATCTCCAGCCCTGCCTCCTGGCCCCGAGGGCCCCCAGTCCCTGCACCTGTCACCTCCGCCCTGGGCTCCGGGGTCCAACCCCGTGCACCTCTCCACCCGCTGACCCCCGGGCCTCCAGGGCGCCGCGCCCCTCACAGCCCAGGCCTCACCTCCCTCCAAACACCTGGACCACGGTCTTAAGAACCACATGGGGAAATGGAAAAATCGTCCTAAGATGTTTCCACCCCCAGAACACAGCTGACCCCGGGGTGCGGGGTTTCCACACCACCAACCAGCGCTCCGGCCCCCTGGACGCCAACGAGCTGCCCTGAGCGCAGACCCCGCAGGTGAGGGCTCAGGCCCACAGGACGGCACACTTCACCACCACCAGGCCCGGGGCCACCTGTGCTTCTCACAACCAACTGGCTGCAAGTCAGGGCTCCACGACCCCCTCCTCGGGTTTGATAATTTGCTAGAAAGACTCACAGGACTCAGACAGTCTCCTTAGGACAGCCAGTTTATCAGGAAGGACGCAGCTCAGGAACAGACGAATGGATACTCTCGGAGGGACCAGAGCCTCCACAGCCTCTCCGGGCAGCACCCTCCCAGCTCCTCACCCACCGAGGAGCACGCCACACCTCACTGTTGACGACTTTTTACAAAGCTTCCGGAGGTCGCGGGGTGAGGCTGACAGTGACCTGCCCCGTTCCAGGCCAATCTAGGGCCCACCCTGAGTCACCCCCAAGCAAAAACTCAGGGTGATCAAAAGGGGCATCTTAGGAACAATAGAAGACACCCCTATGGCTCAGGAAACCCCAAGGGTTTTAGGAGCTCTGCACCAGGAACAGGGACCAAGACCACAGGTATCTTCCTCGGAACCACTCGAGGCATGAGAAAACAGCTGCAGCTTACCTCACAAAGGACAATTAACACCCCCGATGTGTTAAGAGCTCTTAAAAATGAGGGGAAAGATGACCACAAACTCAACAGAAAAACGGGCAAAAGCTGAACAGTCCTCGGAAAAAGATACATTAGCATCCTTTAACCCTTGGAAAGATGCTTGACGTCACTCCTAGGAAGAGGATGCACACTGAAGCAGGAGACACCACTTCTGCCTGGTGAGCTGTCCACAAGCTCTGACAGGGGTGTTCCGGGGCATGGCTCGGGGGACCACACGCACAAGCTTACTCGCTGCAGCAGTGTTTCCAAGAGCAGAGTGTCTGAAACAAGGAAAACGCCTTGCTCAGGAGCCTGGCCACGGAGAATGCAGGGCACACACACAGGAGAGATACACAGAGCAAAGGTGAGCTCCGCACGCCGATACCAGAGCCTTCCAGGGAATACTGTGCAGGAAAGGAAAAGAGGGCGAACCGTCCATGTGATTCGCTACCTTCTGGTAACGATGAGTAGCAGGTGTGTATATACACACAGCCTAATGCCTGGATTTGCAGAAAGAAACCAACGATGCATAAAATGGACTAATGACAGTGGGAAGAGGGTGGAGGCCAGGGATTGCAGCAAGACACGTCTGCACATAGCTTTTTATTCAGTTTGACTTCTGAACCATGGAAATGGCTTACACACTTTAACAATCAGAAAGAAAAGAGAAATCCTAAAATAAACGGAGCACAAACAGAAAAATAAACCTGACTTGTATCAGGCATAGAAAAACATGTTTCATGGAGCTTTTCAACACAATAACTGTACACCCTGAGTGAGATAGATTCTAAGCACAAAAAGAACTACAGAGAAATTCTGAATTTTCTTAAGCTTGTCGTTGGTACTGGTAACGAGGCAATGATTCTGAAACCGGTATGGCTGGTAGTACAGAGCAAATGAGTTTTTCCTGATGTCAGAAACAAGATTTTCATAGTGGGATGGAGGAAATAGCAATATGGGAAGTGGGCAGGGGAGGAAGAACCCCGTTATGATTTAAACTGGGGGCATCGGCATAAACTCACAACTGGAAAAAATTCGCCCCTGTCCTGGCTCTGTCCACTGCGAAAGCTGGAAGCAAGGACACCTCGGTGAGTGCTCAGACACTGAGTTCTAATCCATACTCTCCACCGAGAGGAAGCAGGGCTCCTTGTAGAAATGGCTGATTCCAGGTTTGGGGCACAGAAAACACAAGATGAGCCTGGAGCATCTAGAGATCAAGGAAGTGCTCAAAGGTAGAAAGAACCTCTAGTCCATAGTGACTTTAAAAAAAAAAAGGGGGGGCATAAATTGATGGTGGTCCTCAAAATATGTTCACATCCTAATTCCGAGAACCTGGGAATCTGACCTTACTTGGAAAAAGGGTCTTAGCAGGTGTAATGAAGGATCTTGAGACCAAAAGACCACCTTAGATTATCCAGCTGAGCCCTCGAACCCGTGACCAGTGATCTTATAAGGGACGGAGGGACCTGACAGCAGGGAAGGGGCCACGGGACCAGCACCGGGAATGAAGCACCCGCAGCCTGAAGGCGCCTTCAGGGGACCACGGCGGCCCTGCCGACACCTCGACTTCTGACTCCGGCCCCCAGAATCGTGGGAGAATCAATTTCCCTTGTTTTAAAGCTGTCTAGTTCCTAGCAATTTATTACAGCAGCCCCCAGAAAGCTAACAGAGAGAGAGAGAAAGACAGGAGGGAAGGAGGGAAGGAGGGAAGGAGGGAAGGAGGGAAGGAGGGAAGGAGGGAAGGAGGGAAGGAGGGAAGGAGGGAAGGAGGGAAGGAGGGAAGGAGGGAAGGAGGGAAGGAGGGAAGGAGGCCTCGGTCCCTCTGTCCCTCTGTCCAGAAGAACGCCAGTTAATAAACAGAGGAGGATTTACAGAATTAGGAAGTTGCCGCTTTTGTGATCCCCAATATAAAACTGATCCAGGCGAGGACTGGCAATGGATGCTGAGCGCGCTGGCTTGCAAGTCTCCGAGATCCCCTGGCTGGGTCCTGGGAACACGGATCCTGGCAATCAAGTGGCCGGCAGCCAGCCCCTCCCGGCATCAAACTCAGCACTGATAGTGGACAAGCCTGATGTGATGCAAATCGACCAGCGTTATCATAAAAATATTTACCTGAATTTAATCCTGAGGAAACAATCAGGTAAGTCCAGAAGGTTGGACGTTTCTGAAGGACAACCAGCCTGTGCTTTTAAAAGGTAAATGTCATGAAAAAACAAGAGTTAGAGGCATAACAGCGATGTGTAAACCCTGACGGGATCCTAGATTAAAAAAAAAAAAAAAGCAGAAAAGGCTATAAGGACATTTATGGTACCACGGGGGCGGGCGGAGGGAATTCAAATATGGACTGCATATCAGATACTATTTATTGTTAATTTTTAGACTATGATAATGGTGATCAGATTACATAGAAAATGCAGATCTTAGGAGACACGTGTTGAAGTATTTAAACATGAAGTATTACTATGTCTACAACTCTCAAATATTTCAACAAAGAAATATATGTAAAAAATGAAAAGAATGAGCAAATGTGGGGGAAAAAAGAACTGGCATATGTAGGCCGAGGGTTATTTAGGTGCTTGCTGAATTGTTTTTTCAATACAATAGAAATCAGGTGTGGAAATTCTTACAGTAGATGTCGAGGGTCAAAACAATTTCCAGGTTGCCCCTCCCGGCCACCAAGAAGGTGGGGGGAGATTTTAGGCTCCTATTTCTGGGCCTGGGGGGACCCTGGGAACTTGCGGTAACAAGCATAGTGACCCCTGGGCTCAGGGGAATCTGGAAGCACCACTTACACAAGTTCACCTGTTTTCCCCTTTTTTTCCCCCTCTTTCCCCCCAGGAGTCCACTGGCATCACCAGCACCTGTCTGCTTAGTGAC